TAATAACTTTTAAAAAACTAGGCTAACGATAGTAACATCTAAAACGAGATTCAAATATCGTATTCATTTGGAAAGCAAAACAGAGATTGAGAACCTAAAATATCCTTAAATATAGAAGGAGTGTCAATTGATATTATCGATTTTAGTATCAATTAGTTCTTAATTATTCTTTGTGCACATTGCCATTTTTGGTTTCCTTATTTGTCATTATATCTAAACTCATTTTTCTTTTGAATTGACAATATAATAATTTTGATTAAATTTATTAGTCAAAGCAGGAAATAACATATCTTGATATTCTAATTTTTTTTAAGTCAAAGCAAAATTATTAAAACAGGTGCAACTTAGTTTGTTCATGTTCATTGATCATGATTGTTAGATCTTGATAAATAAAAAATTGAATTTATAATTTTCTTTTTCCTTTTTTTTTTGGATAAGAATTAGACCAAGGTGCTATATTTATTTTACGCAATTGAAGATGTTCATGTAAGCAAAAATCTTATTCGATTTTGAATATAAATATTAGGAGTTTCTTCTTATAATAGTACAAATAAGAAAATAATAATAATTTTGTAGTTAATTTTAAAGTTTTAAATATTAAGAATTTATTAAATGGCAATTGTATATAATATAAAATATAATGTACGTGTTATTCGTCACGAATGATTAAACCTTTTATATTAAAAATAACAAATTTATAGGTCATCTTAAACTCTTTCTGCATATGTGAAAAATTAGAATTAACATTACTCATATGGTCCAAAAAAAAAATCTATAAAATATTAGAATTTGAAAAACATGCTTAATAATAATTAAGAGTTTAGCTCTATAAAATTATAACGAAAAAAGATTTGGAAAAATGTTTTCATTACATTACCATTCCTAACATGGAAAAATCAGATTTAAGGAAACAAGGAAAAGTCAACAACTTAGAAACGTGGATTTTTTTAACTAAAACTAGTATTTTAAAAAATATTAATTATGTCCAACGATGGTCTGACTTTGCTTAGCATATTAGATCATATTATTTTAACAAAATTCTCAGCCGTTATTTTGTGTTTTAATGCAGTGTACCCAAAAATAAAATAGTAAAATTAAAGAAAACTAATTATATAGCATTTAATTAACTTTGTGTTTCTTATTTTAATTTTTTACATTATCAGCTATTTCGTATTATAACATTGATATAGAAGTATTTATTAATGACTTAGTATCATTGTCTATTACTCCATTTTATATATCATCGATATATATTTTTCTTTCTCCTAATTTTTTTATTTCTAAACTTTTCTAATAGTGTCAACAGTTTTTCGAATATTTAAATATATCAATAATGATTTTGCATTTTATTACTTTATTTTATTTTAAAATTAATATCCTAGCATTTTCTCTATCGCCCATTTTGTATATTTTTTGTGCTATGATATTTTGACTTTTCTCATTTATTTTTATCTAAATTTTTAATAATTTTTTATTTTGTATTACGTCTATTAACGAAATATTTTTCCTTTTATTTTATTTTAATTATTAAAAACTTTGTATAAGATAAAGTTCATTATATGTTTAAAATTTTACTATGTTGCTCATAAATCTTTTATTATTCAATTTTTTTTTATTTTTTACTTATTGAGATTCGAGTTATGTTATGTTATCCACTGTCTGTCGTTGCTAATCACAAATAAAAAATAATTCATCTTCTCAAGCTAAATTATGTCATATTCTTTAAACCTTTTAAACCATGTTAGTTCGCTGTTGCATTATGCAATACTTAGTTTAATTCTTAAATTTCTTCACTCTTATTTTATAGCTAGAAATTCATCCATCGTGTAAAATTCAATCAATTCAAAAGGTGAAAAAAGGGAAGCCCGTTACACTAAGCCCCCGTTATGAGTGAGGTCCAGGAAAAGGCCGGACCACAAGGTCTATTACACAGTCTTACCCTGCATTTCAGGAGGTTAAAAATTGGTAATAAGTAGAAGAAAACTAAGTTTAGCTATGACAAAACAATACAAAATAATATTTATTTAAAAGTAATTTGACCTTTCTTTTTGAAGATGTATAATAATTTTTTAACTGTTAAAGTACTACTATTTAAATTTAAAAAGTAGTAAAAAAGAAAATAAATACTCTGAATAATTGTACTCATAGCATACCAAATAAATAACAGCTTTGTTGACCAAAAAAATAAATAAATAACAGCTTTTATTATTTGCAAAAGCAAAAAAAAAGTGCATAAAAATGATTGAAGATAAGCAAATGAGAATTAAGTCATAGTAAAGACGAAGTACAACTCAATTTGACATCCTTTCTAGATATGCATACCATTTCAAATCATGTTCTTTTGATGCACACACTAATGAGAAAATGACTCAGGAAACAGTCAATACCATCTTATATTACAAAGAAGCTCTCTTTTATTCATCCTATTCTCGATCCTTGGTATTCTACTTTAAAGAACAACGTATCAAATGGATCCAATCAGTTGAGATAATTATCACACAAAGATCATGGGTGTATACAATTGTAGCTATTAGTACCATTTATTTGTAGATATTCTTCGGAGTATTTTTTTATGTTCTTTAATCGAACAGGAAACCTGTTGGAATCAAAGTAATCAAATAAATGAAAGATGATATAATAAATTATTAGAAATTTAAATATAATAATTACCTATAATTACATATAGCGCAAACATATGATCCAATTATGAACATTGAAGAAATCCTTCACTTTATATCAACTTGATGAACCTTACAATATTCAAATTCACCAGAAAATCATACTAATTACTTTAAAAAGCTAATGATATACTTCTAGAAAATGAATGAATCTTTAAACATTAAGAACAATATAATATAATGGTTACATATTTTTTTCAAAGTTTCATAAATAAGAAAGAAAAGGAGAATTCACCGCACCACTTCTTCAACGGGAAAAGGTAATACATTAGAGATTGCTTAACTTTTACAAGGATCTGACTTGGTTTTTCATTCCCATAGAGAAGAGTATATATACATGAGTTTAAGCTCAGTCTCCCTAAAATCTCTCCTAAGAATTTTCTAAAAATATTATATTCTTATAATATCATATAATATCACATCGCTAACAAATATAGATACACAACATATAATTACTATATTTACACATTTAAAGATTTTGTTTCATAAAAGCAAATCCAGGTCTCTATAGATTTAACAATGAAGCACGAAGAGGTCCGCTATTTTTTTTATAGTATCATAATGTTTCTTTCAATTCAAACTTGAATTTTAATCTCAATTCAAATAAAAAAAATTATATTTCAATTCAAATATTTTTATCCTTCAATTTAAATTCAAATTATTATTTTTATCTCAATTTAAATATGTTTTTATCTCAATTCAATATTTTTATAATAATGTTTACTAACTTTTACTTTTACTTTTTCTTATCACACCACTTGATGTGGTTGATTACCTTGTTATTCTTAATTAATTATCTGAATGATTTATTTAATTCTCTATTTCATTAAGAATAACAATCTAAAAGATACGTAAGAGATAGTGCAGTTTTAGGAGTCTTTTTTTCCCCTTAAAAAGCATTTTTTTTTAAAATATTTGCAAGATTCATTTCAATAAAGTTAAACCTTATCAAATAAAGTTTGCATTAACAAACATTTGGCATTCAATAATTTAATTAAACCACATGTTTATCAAAAAGAGTTTTTGATCTAAAGTAAAATTCAAAGATTTTAATAGCAGGGTGTCGTTGGATATGAAACTATCGGTTCTGCCGAGGTATAATAATATTTTCTTATATTATTTTCTCTAGTTAATGTTATTTTATTTCCTCACTTTGAAGGAAACCATGAAAATTCATTTCCTTTTGTTCTTTTCTCTAATTAATGCTTACTTTATAATTTTCTCACTTTAAAGGAAACCATGAATATTGTTTGTCATATAATATTACTTCAAATATGGTAATATAAGTCATAGACAGCTTTTTTATTAATGTTATACAAATATAATCCAACAAATTAAAGCTTAGATTAGCAGTAGATTTCATTAATTATAAAGCTTGATCAATTAGCGGTGAATTTTCATTAGTTATAAATATGTATATATAAATATAGATATATAGATCAGATTTGTCTAATATCTATTTAGATTATGTATAAAATTTATTAAAATACTTCCATTAATTATGTTTCTATTTATAATTTTTAATTATTAATATTGTCTTAAAATTGCCAAGTGGCTTCTTTTTAGCTTGCCACTTGGCTTAACCACATGCTTCACTACTCTCCTTTTAATATAATATAGATAGATATTATTTAATTTTAGATTCCTAATTATTAGGAGTTTTTACATAGTTCAAATAAGGAAATATTTTCTATATAGAATTTGACTAATTTTAACGTCCTAAATATTAGGAAAATAATTACATTATAATTACAATTTTATCCAATGTGAATTATATTTTTAAAGGGTAAAAAAAGCAAACGATATTTTGCTAAGAGGTTTCGTGCTTTTAATATAATATAGATTAATGTGCCAGATATTCTTTAAACATTCAGTAGTAGTTTCACGGAAGGATTCAACCTGTTGATCAATTTCATTGTTATTCATACTCGAAGGACTCGTAAATCTAATAACCTTGCGGATATAGAATTTGTTTTATAGACGTAAAATTAGACCGTCTTAAAATATGACATCACTATCCCACAGGAAATTATAGTTACAAAGCAATAATTTTATTTTTAAAGGGCATAAAAATCGATTAATATTTCAGGGATATTTTTGTCGTTCGACATTTAGTGTATAATATTCGTACTTTTATAATAATATAGATAGATATAGATATAGATAGATATGGATAAAATTTTTATACAGTGTTTTATTTTAACCAAATGATTACAAAAAGTTAAAGAAAAAAGAGAAAAATCATACACACGTGGGAGAAATTCTCGCACGAGCGAGTCAACCTTGGCCGAAGCCGTCGCCCTTCGGCCAGTGCCACCCTTATTTGCCATTTTCATTTCCAAAAAAGTTGTGGAGACAACAGAAGCGAAACAGAGAGAGTGATAAGAAAAGCTTTCGTCTCTCGATCTGCGGACGCAAAAGGGGCTGACCTGAGGAAAGAACACACACACTATGTGGAGAAAACTCTCTTCGCAGCTTCGTACCCTACGACTAATTCGATCCACTCCTAAGTCCAATCCAACCGCCTCCGCCGCCACGTCGATTACTTCTCCATCGCCGGCGGCATTCCGTTCATCGGTCGCGTCCTTCTCTCGTCAATTCACTACCGCATCCGGTATATTTTCACACTTCTCTCTACTCTGAACCCTAATTTCATCAGATCTCACGCATTTTTACACAAAATCATGTGTTTGAATAGAGTCGAATGGATACAGAGGGTACTTTAGTGGATTGATTGACTGATATACGTGCCTTATGTAATGTTCTATTATTGTTTATTTAATTTTTGGTTGTGATGAGTATGGATTATTTGTTGTGTGAAACAGAGAATGCTGTTAAGAAGAGTGTGGAGGATGTAATGCCAATTGCAACTGGCCATGAGCGCGAAGAGCTTGAAGCTGAACTCCAAGTGAGTTTTTTACCATGTTCTACATATTTATAGCATTTTTAGCCGAGATATTTAGGTATATTAATTCAATTGTCTTTGATAGATGTTACTCCGTGTGGCTGAAATTTACATTTGATGTGTGCTTTAGGGAAGGGAGCTTCTTGACATTAACTTTCCTGAGGGTCCTTTTGGTACAAAGGTCAGTGTGGATTTTCAAGTAATGATTGGTGCTAGTACACACTCGTTATTCTTGTTGCTTTTGTCGCAATGTATTGTTGATCAATAAAATTGTTTTATCTTATATTCAGATTGGTTATTCTCGTCTGATGCATAATGATTATATGGCATAATTGATTGTTCTCTTATTAACATGGGTAACATGCATTTAGAGTAGGAAATGTTGGAAATAGCCGTTGTTTTTAGGTTTTCTTGTGAGTTTATGGTTCTTCTGATAATCCAATTGAAGACAAAAGCAAAGAAGATAAAAATGAGCAGCATACTGTTTATTCTCTTATATTAACATCTGATGTTGGGAATATGTTTTAGTTTGCAACTACTGATCCAGAAGGATTATTGAGTTTTACTAAGCTTAAGACAACCTGGATCAATCTTACCCCAGGGCTTTGGTTCAAATTCAATATTGTTAGAGATAGCTATGTAATTGTCCCACATTGGAATAGGAGTAGTATCCCCTTTGTATAGAGTAGCTATAAATAGCACCTCTTGTATTGCATCACACACAATATCAATATATCATATTTTCTCCCGTGCCTTCTCACATGGTATCAGAGCTATCGTGAGAGATTTATCGCTGTGCATAAATTCCAGCGATTCCGGGAAGTAAAATCAGTCACCGGAACCCTTTTTTTCCGGCGACTTTCAAAGTTGTTTTGCGTTTGCTTTGTTTCGGTCAGTGTTGTGCACAAAATCCAACACTACCACAAGAGTAGTCACTGTCTGGCGACCAAATCCCAGTGAAAATCTCCGGCGGTACTGTAGCTGTACAAAGAAAATTTTCCGGCGAAGTTCCAACGTTGCGTGGGCCACCTTCCGGCCATTTTTTGAAAAAGTTCCTTCAGAACAGTTGGGTCTTCTGGTAATTCCGATCCTACCCTTACTGTTTTTATTTCATTCCGACCACTTTGAATATTTTCCGGTTGCAACAGTAACTTTCCTACTGCTACAGTAGTTTACTATTCTGGTTCAGTGTTCCTTACTCTATTTTCAGTGGATTACAGT